GTCTCATGGGCGCAAAGGGAGTGAGAGGCTGGTGAGGCCACAAATGACTGGGGAGTACAGTAATACAGGTGCATACTTATACGTTTTCTGCCCTTCCGTACTCGCCCGCTCTGTTTCCAGGTACCGCCCTGCGACGCGTTTCAGCCGTCGCTTGGCGCTTGTCCCTCCCGACGCGTTGAGCGCGTTTCACCAGAAGTGCCGTCGGTCGGCCACTTCCAACATGTTCATCACCGTCGCAGGACATACGACACACGGCACGGGACATAACGGGAGGCGACAGCGAAGGAAGGACCTAGGATGGGTGCGGACGGTGCCGCGGATATTTCGTCGCGCGAGCGACACTAGAGAAACGGACCTGAACACTGACTGCACAGGATTGAGAAATAGTTGTATCAAATGCAATGAGTGAGCCGAGGCGAAGAGGATGCCGACTGGGATGGTCGTTCAATGCTGCGCCCAGTCGATGGTGCTGATGTCGATGCCGTCTTGAACCATCTCCCACAGCGGGCTACCATGACACCAGAAGTCAGCTACCAATCACCAGACCATATAACGTAACATGAGCACGCACCTCATATCCCGCAACCGCTGCACAATCGCAATGATCTTCTCAATTACGTAGTCGACCTCCGCCTCGGTCGAGAACCGGCCCATACCGAAACGCAGCGATAAATGCGCCATGTCTTCAGCGGCTCCGAGTGCGCGAAGCACGTACGATGGCGCGAGCGACGCCGAAATGCACGTGCTTCTTGATGACAATGCGGTATCCTGCAGCACGAACCCAAAGTCAGCATGGGCCTCGCGATGAGCTGACCGGAAATACGCACCTGAAGCGCCATCAGCAGACTCTCGCCCTCGACATACGCGAAGCTAAGGTTGACACAGCCCGAATAGCCGTTCGTCTCACCGTTTCGCACGACGTGCTCGACCTTCGCGTTGATGCTCTTGATGAGGCGCTCAGATAGTTCCTTCACGTGCGCGTGGTCTCGCTGACAACACAAACAAGAGATCAGCATCAAAATCTGACATCGAAGAACAACACGGAAGACGAGGCACTCAGTACCCCTGCATGGTGCATCTCGGCTCAGCCGGCGCAGCTGACACGAGTCCAGACTGGATTGCCGCTGACCTCAGTGTACAAAGGTACGTGCAAAGCCTCATCAGCGCGCCTTTTCAAGAAATCTACACTCACCGCCATCTCCTGCTTCGCGATCCTTTCAGCCTCACCCATACCCCCAACTAGTGGCGTCGCTAGGGTCCCACTCTTCAACCCACGTTCCTGTCCACCGCCATTGGTGAAAGGCTCCAAGCGTACACGAGGCCGCCTGCGGACGTAGCACGCCGCGATGCCTTTGGGACCGTACAGCTTGTGTGTGGAAGTGCACGTCGCGATGCCGCCGAACGAGCGCGCCAATCTCCTTGATCGGCTGGATGACGCCCGTCTCATTGTTCACGGTCATGACGGAAACCGGCGCAGTGTCTGGCCGAATGGCCTTCTCGAGCTCAGCGAGGTCGACGATACCGTTCTTTTGCACCGGGAGGTAAGTCACGTCGAACTCCTCCTCTTGCGGCTTCCAGCAGGAGTCAAGCACGCATTTGTGTTCCTAAGCATCAAAGAGGATGAAAGTCCAATTGACGGCTCTAGCTCCGAAAACGTACTGTATGGGTGGTGATAATGCGCTTCCCTATATTCTTGTGGAACCGCGCAACACCCTTGATAGCCATATTATTTGACTCAGTCACGCCCGCGGTGAATACGATGCCGTTTGGTTCAGCAGTGCACTTTTTCCGAACCAGAAACTACCTGTGCCAGGTGCGCTACGACCGTCCAGCGAAGACGATCCATCACCGTACTTGTGCAGACGCAATCCACCCGGCGGAAAGGAAGAACCGTTGAGTGCCTCTGGCCCTGAGGTGCCGATATTGATGATCGCGTCGCCAGCCGCGGCTACAAGGAGGCCGTATGATTTAGGCGAAACAGGCTGTGCAGTGGTGCCCGTCATGTGCGCTGATTTGGGACTCAATAATCTCCGCGTCCGAAAGACATAATCGCATTCTTTGTCGACAACCGGTGCTTGGTTTTGATGAGTTCATAAAGATTTCGGTACACTCTTGTAGCCAAGACTTTGAATGCGCATGTGTTGGACTTCACAGCTGGAATACTATGTAGGACAGATAAATGTGCAACGATCACTGTTTGCTCCCCGATGAAACGAAATACGTAGGTCTGGAGCCTCCAAGACTGGGCGCTTGCGCCATATCTGCAAAGCTTGTCGTGATTGAACGTGGCATGGGACATACCGGGAGACGACAGCAAAGGAAAGGCCCTTGAATGAGTGCGGACGGCGCCGCGGATATGTCGTCGCGGGAGCGACATCATAGAATGAGATCTGAACACTGACTGCACAAGGTTAAGGAATAGTTGTATGGGACGCAATGAGGGAGCCAAAGCGGAGGGCGGGAGGTGACTGGAATGGTCCGACGCTCAATGCTGTGCCCAGTCGATTGCGCTGATGCTGATGCCGTCCTGGACCATCTCCCACAGCGGGCTATTAGCACAACAGAGGTCAGCTACCAGTGACCAAACGATAGATCATAACACGAACACGCACCTCATGTCCCGCAACCGCTGCACACACACAACTACCTTCTCGATCACGTAGTCGACCTCCGCCTCGGTCGTGAACCAGCCCATACCGAAGCGCAGCGATGAATGAGCCATGTCTTCTGCAGCTCCGAGCGCGCGAAGCGCATACGATGGCTCGAGCGGTGCCGACGTGCACGCGTTTCGTGACGACAATGCGATATCCTGCAGCACATACCCAAAGTTATCATAAACCTCACACAATGAACAACCGTAACGACGCACCTTGAGCGCCATGAGGAAACTCTCGCCCTCTACACACGCAAAGCTAAGGTTGACGAAGCCGGGTAGCCGATCGGGTCACCGTTTCGCACGACGGAATCTGTACCTTTCCAGGCATCGGGCAAATCACCCAAAGGTCACGGAGACGACGTACCATGAGCCCCATTAATTGGGATGAGTGTCTTCATGTGGCCGGGGGCAATGCAAGAGGATCTGCATAGCCATCACGGTGCCGTCTGGAGCTCGTACATACTGTGACGCAATCCGATCGATGTCGCGTCGCCTTGACGGTCCTTCTCGGTTTCTTGGCTATGGCAGGTACGAAAGGAGCTCTCGCAAATCAACGGCCTACCGAACGCCTAGCTAGCTGCAGACATTTCCTATTCGGAGATGTTTACAGTGCAGGAAACCGGGGAACGTTCGTCGCGAGCACGTTACATTCAGTTTGGCTGGCGATACCATTTGTTTAGATTGCGCACAGGACGATGCTAGGAATTTGTTAAATGTCGAATGCTCCATGCTGTTGCCTGGTTGAAATAGGCTGAGCGCAAAAGGACGCGTCTGTGGCTGACGACGGTACGCATATCCATGTCGAATCGGCGCCGGCTCTTGCTCAAGCTTCAGCCTGCCTCTCCATTCAGGGCCGGATGGGCACGGAGAGGCGGTCTCAGCTCATAGTTCTTTCTGCGGTTGTCGCGTCTCGTTCCTAGTAATTTTACATGTGCGACCTCCTGCATATCGTGGTTTTCATGATACAGGTGGTCAGCATATTGTTGATTTAAGTCGCCATGTCGGCCTTAGCACATCGAGCTGAGTCATTGAGGTGTTCAAATATTCATATGCATGAACGTCCGTAGATAGTCCGAGTATAGTATGAATAGAACCACAGAGCCGAAGTATCGAAAGGTCTGCTACCGTCACAGAGCAATTTGAAGACGACGAAAGACATTGCACATGTCTGACTATATAGGCGGACAAAATATTACATGAATAGAAAACCGGATGCGCGCGTAATACGTATAGTATGAGTGGTGTATGACAGCGAAGATTGTAACAATTTTCCAAAAACCAATAAATATGGAACCGGGACGCTTGCAGCCTTGTATAGGAAAGTTTCGAGACAGGGAATGAATTGCGGACCTAAAGTACCCAAACTCAGCGTGGACGTCGCGCATGCGTCAACCAACTTACCAGATTCCGAAACACGTTACACACGAACAACTCCAGCTCCTCGTCTTAGTAGTCGTCCTCCCAATCGTCTTCTTCCTCCCAATCCTCGGCGGCCTCTCCCTCTGCCTGCCCTTGCTCCACATCGTACTCGCGGCCTTGTCCAGAGGGTCCAGCTTCCATGGACATCTCAACTTGCTGTGCTTCGTGATGACGGTGTTGATTCGAAGGGCCGGCAATCATGGTCTCGTTCACAACAGCGTTTATCCGGTTGGCGGTGGCTACAGAAGGTTCCGTCTCTGAACCGATTGCAGGGACGCTGTTTGAGGCGTCAGAAAGGATCACAAGGCTGGGAATGTCGATGTACGCTTCAGTCTGCACGCCATGGCCTGAGCGCACAAACGAGGGAGTATCGGATTGCTCCCTCTGCGCGGCTCGGGCCGTTTCTTGGATATTCAGCAAAATCCGAGAGACAAGAATTGTGTTGAGCCTATAAAACGCATGAGTATCTGTTGCAATCAGCATAGATCCTGAAACTTAACGGTGTCCCCAAATTGTCGATAACATATGTGGCGTTCTACATAGGACGTCACGGTTTTATGAAGACATTCAGCAGCAGCAGTATGAAAGTTGATGCGCATTTGGGTCACTGACCTGGCCAATAAGCAATAGTACGTTCGTGCTCACGTTCAGCAGTAATAGTATTCTATGGCGATGCCTCAGTTTCCCCTGCAATGGACTAGAGTTGGCCACGTACACGAACTGAATCGTACCTATAGACAGAAAAAAAGATGACGCAATCACGGTTCTACAACATAAGCTTTACTCACCGTCTCTCAGCAACAATGCCACCAGTGAAGGCCTCTGAGAAAGCACTCCAGTCGAGTTCCGGCTGAGTTGTTTGTATAGCCTCCACCAGATGACACCGACCAGTGCAACATTTTGGACCACAGAAATAACAAGGAGGGTAATTATTACTACCGAAGTGACCGTCAGTGTGGCTCATTTGGAGAAGGTAGTGCTTATAATCAGCTTACACCTGGTAGTTGATGGTTGAGAAGAGTACATAAACTGACGACAGAACGGGTTGCTTACTTTGTGTAGGTGCTCGCAAACGAATTCTGTGGGAACGAGTAGCATATTGCCGTTGATTCTAGTACGATGACCCCGGTTGATTTGTTCACGAGGTCTTCTCACGACAAGAGAGTCAGTGATGGAACGATTCGTTCAATCCAATCATCGTAGAGAGCGTACCGAGGACAATATCGAGCCCCAAATTTGCGCAGGCTAGCAACGCAAAAATTATGGTGGGACGCCAGTCACGTCCGGTCACTGCATATACTCGTAGTAACGTGAGCACTGCAATAGGATGTCAGTATCTAGCTGGAATGGGGTGCACGTAAATTGACCTGCGGACACCATGGCGATTTCAACTATAAGACTGGAAAACGCATTTTCCACTACTTCACAGCTAAAAGGCATGAAATGTAATAGGTTTTGCAAGTCCGTGAGTAGAGGACTCGGAACGAACCTCTGCCGTGGCATCCTGTCAGACCGCCGTGATCAGATTGAAGCTCCATCACGATACGTACAGTTTGTGAGTAGATATTCAATAACGCTGAGATCGATACGGCACCATAGGCGAGAGCCACCAGTCGATTGATGAAGAAGAGGACTGCCGGGAGTGACCTTTTGCCCCAAAAGAATTTAACCTCTTGGTTGAACGTAGTGATATGTTCGTAGAATATGAGGGCTAGATCAGGTCATCGTTCCAATGCATTGCAGCGTTCAGTTACGATCACACTCGCCTGCTCCGGATGCAGAGGCACAATTCGATATGAAGCTATGCATGACAAGCCCTCGGAATTAGCAAACTGGCTAACAGGGGAAAGATCGAAGCTCACTTTGCCTCCAGCAGCTCGATCGGCTCCGTGGTCAAGCTCGTCATGCTATGAACAGAGGACAGGAGGTGACGAAGATGTGAGTAGCAGCTAACTCTGAGTAGCTATCTAACATGCTCGCAGTACGATCATCAGATGCAAGGGAAAAAGAATTTACGGATGCCAAGGTACAAAGATTCTTCTCTTGTTGGAGTTGACCAGTCGACTGAGGATTCTGCGCAGTTCTCACAGTACGGTGGGCTCAACTTAGCTGATATTCTCAGCGTCTGCCGCTCACATCGAACTTGCAGGCTCTATCGAAACCATCGCATCCAGCGAGCGGGAATCACACTGAGCATGCCTTTTGAGAGCTCTGCAACGCTAGGGACGTGCAACCATCTTCCCATAGGTGGATCGGGACCTAAATTGAGTCGGCGCACTCGTTCCCAACCAGAAAATGCCTGTGCCCTGTGCGCTACGGCCGTCAAGCAAAGATGATCCATCACAGCATTTGTGCAGAACCAAGTGACTGCGTGAAAAGAAAGATGCGTTCCCAGCGCACTTCCAGCCGCAGCTACAATGAGGCCGCACAGCCGTATATGATCTAGGGTGAAACAGTCTTTCAATGCTGTCCACTGACCTTCTTCTCGTCGTAGACACTGATTTGAGGTTGAATGTTGATCGGCGTGGCGGTGCTTGACTTTGATAAGTGTATCAAGATTCTGTTACGTTCTTGTAGCCAAAACGCACATGTGTTGACGTTCAGAGCAGAAATACAGTCGCTAAAGCAAGAAGAATGTGCAACACATATTCGGTGAAAAAAAATAGAGAGGTTAGAGTCCAAGACTGGGCGCTTGCGCCGTATCTTCAAAACGCGCCGTGATTGGTGGCCACAGTATCACATTACCTCATTGATAGTTGGTTACGGTGATTGCAGCTCGATTGGCTGCATCCCGAGGATAATCATTAGCCGACTCAAATTGAAAGCACCAAGAGCACCGCCAATTATCCAACTTTCACAGAAAAGGCGAACCAACCTTTCGCTCACCCGATTATCCCGGGTCAACTTGGACAGCTAGTTATTTAACAGAGCTCATATAAATCCACAGTACGCGTAGTAACTACGAACAACAATTACATTCAATGTTCGTCACCGTCGCAGGACATACGACACATGGTACGAGACATATCAGGAGATGACAGCAAACGAAAGGCCCTAGAATGGGTGCGGACAGCGCCGCGGATATTTCGTCGCCGTAGCGACGTTGGAGAAACGGACTAGAACAATGACTGCACAAGGATAGGAAATAGTTGTATCGGATGCGATGTGTGAGCAGAAGCGAAGGGGATGCAGGGTAGGAGGAGGCTGGGATGGTCGCTCAATGCTGCGCCCAGTCGATGGAGCTGATGTCGATGCCGTCCTGAACCATCTCCCACAGCGGGCTACCATGACACCAGAAGTCAGCTACCAGTCACCAAATGATAGATTGTAACATGAGCACGCACCTCATATCCCGCAACCGCTGCACAACGGCAACGATCTTCTCAATCACGTAGTCGACCTCAGCCTCGGTCGTGAACCGGCCCATACCGAAGCGCAACGACGAATGCGCCATGTCTTCTGCAGCTCCGAGTGCGCGAAGCACGTACGATGGCTCGAGCGACGCCGACGTGCACGCGCTTCCTGATGACAATGCGATGTCCTGCAGCACGAATCCAAGTTGGCATGGACCTCACGATGAGCTGACCGTAAATACGCACCTTCAACGCCATGAGCAGACTCTCGCCCTCGACATACGCGAAGCTAAGGTTGACACAGCCGGGATAGCCGTTCGTGTCACCGTTTCGCACGACGTGCTCCACTTTCGCGTTGATGCCCTTGATGAGGCGCTCAGATAGTTCCTTCACGTGTGCATGGTCTCGCTGACAACACAAACAATAGATCAGCATCAAAATCTGACGTCGAAGAACGAAGCGGAAGACGAGGCGCTCAGTACCCCTGCACGGTACATCTCAGCTCAGCCGGCACAGCTGACACGAGTCCAGACTGCATTGCCGCTGATCTCATGGTACAAAGGTACGTGCAAAGCCTCATCAGCGCGCCTGCTCAAGAAACTTGCACTTACCGCCATCTCCTGCTTCGCAATCCTTGCAGCCTCACCCATACCCGCAACTAGTGGCGTCGCTAGCGTCCCACTCCTCAATCCACGCTCCTGTCCACCGCCGTTGATGATAGGCTCCAAGCGTACACGAGGCCGCCTGCGGACATAGCACGCGCCGATGCCCTTGGGACCGTACAGCTTGTGCCCCGAGAGACTCATGAGGTCGACATTCATCTCGTTCACGTCGATTGGGATCTTGCCTGCCGCCTGCGCGGCATCCGTGTGGAAGTGCACGCCGCGATGCCGCCGAATGAGTGCGCCAATCTCTTTGATCGGCTGGATGACGCCCGTCTCGTTGTTCACGGTCATGATGGAAACCAGTGCCGTGTCTGGCCGAATGGCCTTCTCCAGCTCAGCGAGGTCGACGATGCCATTCTTTTGCACCGGGAGGTAAGTCACATCGAATCCCTCTTCTTGCAGCTTCCGACAAGAGTCGAGCACACATTTGTGTTCCTGAGCGTCAAAGAGTGGAGTGAGCGGGTCAAAGTTCAGTGGACGGCGCCAGCTCTGAAAACGTACCGTCTGGGTGGTGATGATATGCCTCTTTTTGTCCTTATGGAACCGTGCAACACCCTTGATAGCCATATTATTTGACTCAGTCGCGCCCGAGGTGAATATGATGTCTTTTGGGTCGGCACCAATGAGGTCGGCAATATTCTGTCGCAGAAAGGAGGCAAGTCAATACAGCGTGTCGGACACAGTTCCGCCAGCACGTGCCTTACGCCCATCCTCCACGGCCTTTTCGGCCTCCCAGCCGTATGCGTGTGTCCGACTGTGAGGGTTGCCGTATTGGTCGGTAAAATATGGGAGCATGGCGTCGAGTACACGGGGGTCGACGGGGGTTGTTGCCTGCAGTGCTGAGTGAGCAAAGGAGCGCGGCAGAGGCCGTGGGAACCAACACTGACCTGCATGTCGAGGTAGATGGGGCGGACTTTCTCGCCTACTGTGCCCTCACGGCGGGGCATTTCAAGCTTGAAGCCGAGCATGTCTGCCAGCGCATAAATTTGTTGAGGAGCACAGAAAAAGCTGGCCAACAAAGCAACTCACCTGCTCTGGGCGTAAAATGCTCATCGCCCTCGTAGGTAGAGGGCACGTCGACGACGCTAGCGCGGTCTGCGCCCGAGGGCTGGACGAGAGTGCGACGAGCATTCCTGAGGGCAACCGTGGCAACGTTCGTCCTGAGGGCATTGCGGGGGATGGATCTGCTTGCCTGAGAGGAGACGCGGGATAACATAGTGGTGTGGGGGGGAGGGAGCGGCGAAGAGATGAATATAATCTGCGCTGTTTATTATCAGATAAGCCGCGCGGTGTTGACGGATGCCGGGCGGAGAGGAGCAAGCACGCCATTGGTCAGGCGAGTCAAGTCCTGCGTCAGGCACGCCTCCATTGGCTGCGCCGAAGCCGAAATGATTCGCCAGCCCCAGACCCCGTCCCAGACGCCGGCCTATCCCAGCCTCCGCTTGAGTAAGCAGTCCATATCCGATGAGAAGTATTGCCTGATTTGGGCATCTGCCTCGTGGTGCGCACGGACCAGTCGCCGGGTCCATTTGAACTCAGCCGAAAGACGCCAGCACCAACTCGTCTTTTGCTCTTCACCACCATCATGGCCCGTCGTCTCTATCTCGGCAGTAATGCATCTTATTCATTTCTTCTTGACCACTCCCAGCTCACGCATTTGCTTTCCCCTCCCTCCCCCTTTTTTGCACAGGACTGCCTCCCGACACCCGCGCCGACGACGTCTCCAAGTTCTTCGATGGATATGGCCGCATCGTCGACTGCCGCGTCATGACCGGCTTTGGCTTCGTCGAGTTCGAGAGCTCCCGCGACGCCGAGGAGGCTGTCCACCACTTCAACGGCAAGCCCTTCATGGGTGCCAAGTATGCGCTTCCCGCTGTCGCTGCCCGTTCTCACGCGCCTACTGACTTCTGACAAAGCATCGTCGTTGAATTCGCAAAGGAGACTCGCCCCCGCAGGGATGTCTACGAGGCTGAGCGTGCCCCTCGCACAAGGCGTCCGCCTGGTTATCGCCTCGTCGTCTCGGGCATATCCCGGGACACCAGCTGGCAGGTATGATTTTTTATTACTCTGATTTGCAGCAGTTCTTGGCCGCGTTTGCGCAATTGTTACCGGACTCGAAAATGGCCGCTGGGAAGATCGTGCCTCTTATGGAGCTGCTTCTACCGCGTTGTCTGATTGATTTGCAATGACCGGACCTTGAGCGTTTATGGACCTTTGGCTCTCCCACCGATGGACGGACCTGACCTTAATCTCGCCCTCGTCAGGACCTTAAGGACTTTGGCCGCGAAGCTGGTAGCGTATCTTATGCCGACATCGATCGTGATGCTCCTGGCGAAGGGTGAGATATCTGCATTACTGGCGATGGTGACGTTTCTCACATTGCGCGTAGAATTTTGGAATACCTGTCTCGCGAGGACTCTGAGCGCGCTGTCAAGGAACTCGACGGCAAGGATCTCCGCGGCCAGCCCGTTCGTGTCGCCATGGACGCCGACGTGAGTGCGGCCATTCATGCATATCCATCCAGGTATTAACCACATCTCAGCGCGGCGGCGTTGACAACTATCGTCGTGACAACCGCCGCGATGATCGTCGTGATGACCGCTACAGCCGCGACGACCGTTATGGAAGAGACGACCGTTATAGCCGTGACGACCGCCACAGGGATGACCGACGCGACGCCCGTCGGGATCGTTCCCGATCACCTACCCGCCGCGATTTCGACGATCGTCGCCCCCCCAGGTCTCCCCCTCCCCGGAGGGACATTGATGATAAGAGGCCTGCAGGGTACGATGACCGGCGGAGTGGCTATGATGACCGTCGAGGCCCTGACCCTTATTATGACCGTCGCAGGGACGAAAAAAGACGCGACGAGAAGGATGAACGATTCGAAGATCGCCCGCCGAGGCACGCCAATGGGGATAGCGGATGGGCGCGTTAGGACGCGGGTCGCGGGTCAGGATGAATATCGTTCCTATAGGACTGGTCGAAGGAAGAAAGGAGGCCATGGGTCCGTGGCGTACATGCGTCTATCCTGGATAGGTCGTTTCGTTCGGCGGGATGGACCGCGAAAGGCGCCACCCTCCATGGCTGGCATATGGACTCGTTCGTCGCTGGTGCTCTCTCGATAGGTTTCTCGTCTCGGATATCCCTGTATGGACCGCGCGTCGTGCATCGTATACTTGAATATCCCGCGTTGGAGTGCGGCCAAGCGTGGTCCTCCTTGGCCCTGAGGTTCGCGCCGAGCAGGACGGAGCGTGCGACTGGAGGGAAGCAGGAGCAGCGAGCATTTTTGCCTCCCGTCAAGCAAGTGGGTGTCCCTGAATGGACCAAAGGAACCAAATCTGGCGAACGTTACTGATGCGCGAGTCTGGCGGAGTGTGTGTGATCGCAATACTTCCCTCGGCTGATACGTAGCGGGGCAGGACCTTGATGATGGATGACTGAAGGAACGCAAAGACCGCGAAGGCCACGAGTCCATCGCTGACGTTGCTGGTGCAGATGCGCGCGAAGTCCGTGGACGAGCGGAGAGGTCGCCTTGCAATAGACGAACGAGCATTGGACGAGTTGAATGAATGTCCTGGATCCTCGGGTTAATTTTGGTCAAGCCAAGCCAATCGCCGTGAATGGATTCGCAATGGTCACTCGAGCTACATATATGCGCGGACGTGGGAATGATTGTTCATCAAGCTCAAGGTTTGCTATCGGCCCGTAACGCGAGAAGACGACATGGGCACATTTTGGCAGGCAGACTTCTGGCGAGTCATCTCTTACGGGTTTGTGACCATCTGGCACCAAGCGGATCTGACGGCTTTGGACGTGCAACGCAAAATCATTGATTTGACTGGATGCATGTGAACGGTTGACGGTATGAGGTAGGTCGTCTAAAGTGCAACTCGTTTCTCGTCGCGTCATGTCGCGTCATTGCTATTCCTGTGTATGCTATCGTACATTGCGCAATGCAACACATATCCACACCCATCTTGTCCTGTGAGAGATCGACGTCGTTTCATATCACACACACAATAATACGCATCAGAGAAAAACATAGCTGTATCATGTCGCGCCATCGGCAGAGACGAACACCTCCGATCCATCCTCGATGCCCCACCAAGCAAGGTCGCGCGCGTCGTCTCCATGCAGTTCCGCGAAGCTCTCGTTCGGCATGCGCAGCCACAGCCGCATCGGGGCGCCACGCGGCAGCTTAAGCGTCTTTACGAGCTTCATGACGAGGGTTCGGATGGACATGGTAGGTAGGACACGGAGCGGCGTCGGTGAAGGCGAGGACGAGGGTGGGTGTGTGGTGGGGGGTTCGGTGCAGCGGTGAATGTGCACTTCTGCGTTAGGCGAAGGAGATGAGCGACGCTGCTGGAGGACAGATAGTCTGTATACCAATTAACCGGCTTCCCAGCGTATCCTGCCTCTCCTGCGCGGTCGCCGGCAGGCTATCTGGCTTGCCATGTTCTGCAGAAGCAGCAGTCAGCGGAAGCACTCTCTCTCAAATTCCAGAGTGAGTGACACACTGTCGCATAGTTCGTGCCATCGCGGGAGCGCATCCTCGCCCGGCGGCCCGTGCCTGCTCAGGTACGAGAGGTAGAACAGCTCGCTGTCCGTTCGCTCTTTCGGGATTATCTGTTCGGAGTGCGGTGTAGCATAGGATGATCAGATCGAGCATGGGCGGTCCGCATGCGGTCAGTCAATGTTCGATAACGAAAAAAGGTGATGCTGGAGTGTGAGTGACCCGCATGAAGGGTGTCCCGGTGAGACACGTACCCCTGCGGCATCGAGCACGATGAGCGAGCCTATTTTTGCTATTGTAAACTGTCGCGCATTCTTGCCCATTTCGGGATCTGTGGGGATGGATGAACACCGCACCGCAACACTAAACGCGTACCGCAATCACCTTCGACGAGCGGGTTGCCCATCAGTGTCAATGACTCCAACACAGGACACCAGAGTGGCAAGACGTCGACATCACGCCATGATCGCAGATGATTGAATGAGAGCGAGAGATGTTTGAGGTTCACGAGGCGTGCAGCACCGGTGTCGCTCGGATACGGGTCAATCGTCTGGATGCCATTAGCCGTCAGCACCAAGCGCTGCAAGCTATTTTCTTTCGCTGTCAGCCAGCACCGTCTCGCGCGCGCGTGCCGACGCACCTCGGAAATGAAATCAGCGCCTCACATGTCGCGCGCCACCCGGAGAGTGCGTTGCTATCGAGGTTGAGCTCCTTCACAGCCAGATGAACGCCGTGTGATGCCGGTAGCGTGCGCAGGTTGTTGTAACCCATCTCGATTGATCGTAAAGAGGGCATCCCACGGATGACGTCGTGCAGTGCAGGCCACAATGTCAACGTCGCGTTCAGCTGTAGTTCCGTGATGGTGCGGAAGGCTGACGCGGCGCGGGCATGGTCGGAGAAGGGGAGGAGACGATTTTGGCTGTGCGGGCTCGTCAGACGGTTTGGGATGGAATGAAGAGGATGGGGACAGTACGTACTTGAGCGCGAGCCTCTGAAGATGCGGCAGTTCTGACACGATTAGTGCGACAACATCCCAAGATGGGATCAGGTTCCTGGACAGGTCCAATCCGCGGATACCTGATGCACGACGTGTCAGTAACTGTGATCTGATCAGTCTCACTCGTGGCTAAACCGCCCTCGATAGCGTTGCACGTCAATTTGGAAATTCAGGTGCCTTGCACAAAAGCCGTGCGAGCAGTAGCAGTGGCACAGCTGTACAGCACTATCGTTAGCGGGAGATCTCTAAGCTGCGTGTTTCGCGATGGCTCGTGTGATTATGCTGGGCAGAGCGACAGCACAATCTTGTATACCGTGCTTGTCAAGCGGAAAAAGAACGAGAATTACACGGGCTATCTGACGAGTGTCGTCTGGGGCCCAAACCCGTCCTGAGACAAGGCCATTTCTAGACCAGCGCAACCCAGAGAGACTATGATATCGTGCAAACACTCATTCCATCGGACATAATCATCGCGGAACACTGTGACTCTGAAGAAAAAGAATTTGTTGCGCTCACCTGGGCAGGTGCTCGAAATTCTCCCAGGCGGATCGGGGGAGGAAACGCCTTCCCCGTCCAAACTCACTTGCTGCAGCCGTTCCAATTGAGCGAGCTTGCTTCTGATCTTATCGAGGCCCACCGCCTCCACTTCTATCGCGCCATGAGAGGACCCCAGAACGACCTTTTCCAGTGTCGACGACCCATGAGGGAGCTCGATGTACTTGGAGATGAGAGCTGTGAGGAAAGAGCTCCCGTAGGACACTGCGGCCGATGGGCGGATGAACGAGCCGGAATTCGGTACTCTGAAATTCGCGCTGAGTGCCGGTGATGAGCAGCGAGGCAAGCTGGATCTCACTCTCACAAGCAAGTAAAGTAGCGTTTTCCGTCCTTGACCCCGTCGTGCTTGCCTCTCGAAGGGTCGTCCCATTCGATCCCCAGCCAGATGCCCGATGTACCTTCCACTGCACCGACGAACCTGACCGTTCCCAGGTATCCTCCATGGCTGATACGGGTGCTAATTGCAGGCAACGCAGCAGAGCTGGACATTGTCTTCCAAAGAATGGATAACAGATTTCGCCGTCCAGTGTTGCAAATGGAATAGTGCGCTGCGCGGCCGGTCGCGGTGGTGGCGGAAAGAAAGAGCGAGTTCACGTGGTGATGGGGACAGGCGCGTGAGGCGCTTCTTTCCCTCGACGGATCCCCGCAAATCATCCATATCGCAGGTTGGTCGTCGTCTCTGCTTTCCATGTTTGCGCGGACGCTCCGTCTCGGGAGGATGACACGTTCCAGCCGTGCAGCCCAGCGGACTGCCGCCATAGCGCAGCACATGTCCTCCAGCGCGTCGCAACCAGCGCCGGGCGAGGTCAGTTCCACATGGCGCTCGCAGACATCAGGTTCCTCAGTCTTTCGTGATGTCCTCGCAGGCAGCGGTGTTCTTCAAGGAGGACGGGCCGATGAGGACGTACGTCCTTAATCGCCAGGACAAGCTCAATGCACTCGATGAACCGATGCTCAATATCCTCAGACCGAAGGTAGAGGTAGGACGAACATCCATTACGCCACAGTGACAGCCATGACTCATATTTGTTCCTCAGGAATGGAGCAAGAGCGATCTGGCCAAGGTGGTCGTAGGAACGGGCGTGGGCCGTGCATTCTGTGCGGGAGGGGACGTTGCAAGTGAGCTTCCGCGCTAACTGTGTCGCATTCTGATTGCACAATTGTGCCCGCAGGCGTTGTCAACTATGCTTCAAATGTTGATACGCTCCCCAAAGCCATCGACTTCTTCCACCGAGAGTACGTTTCTATTGTCTCATCCCGCCCACCGTTTGTTTAATGCCTGACGTCACGTCATGTAGATTCGAGATGGACTACATTCTGGCTGTTATGCCGAAGCCGTATGTGGCTGTAATGGACGGCATTACGAGTGAGTCCATTCATGTATACGTAGCAAGAAACATTGGCCGACTGTGTCTCAGTGGGTGGAGGCGTTGGACTGGCGGTCAATGCTCCGTTCCGGATAGCTACCGAAAAAACGAGATTCGCAATGCCCGAGACCAAAATTGGATACTGCCCGGACGTTGGCGCCAGTTACTTCCTGCCGCAAGTGGACGGTGAGATTGGCACCTACCTCGGGCTTACCGGCAATGAGATCAGAGGAAAGGCAGTTTTGTGAGCGCATCTTCCCACATCAAATAATCAACTCTGATCGCCGAACCAATCTAGCGAGCACGGTTTCGCGACACATTACGTTCCCTCGTCGCGGATATCGGCCCTGCTCGAACGTATTGCCTCCCTGGAGACCCCGACCTACGGCCAGATCGACAGTCTGATTGAGGAGCACCGGGCGAATCCATCACCGGAGGACAACCACAGCATCCTTGTCGGTGACATCCGTCGTGCGCTCGATGCATGCTTCCGGCATGACTCGGTCGAGCAGATCGTGGCCGACCTGAAGACACAGGCGACGAATGGCCCGAGCGAGGCTGTGCGGAAGTGGGCAAAGGACACCTCGGACGCAATTCATCTGCGTAGCCCGACGAGTCTGAAGGTCGCTCTGGCCGCTCTCCGGAAGGGAAAGAAAATGACATTGCTTGAAGCTCTCCAGATGGAGATGAATATCGCGACTGCTTTCTGCGTAAGTCGATCCCTCGAACTCTGCATTCCAAACATTTTGTTTACCGAGCAAGCTGTACTAGCACGGTGTTACCCCCGATTTTGCCACCGGCGTCACGCACGTCCTCGTGGAAAAATCCAGAGACCCGAAACCGCAATGGTCTCCCGCTACGCTTGAGGAGGTGAAGGACGAGTTCGTCGAGAAACAGTTTTTCGGGACTTACTCCCCAGAGGCAAACGGTCAAACCGCACCGAAGCTCGCGCCGCCGGAGTGGCTCGCCAATCACGCGAAGCCCACGCTTCCCATGAAATACGCGCTGCCGACCGAAAACGAGATCGGGCAGATGGTGTTGGGCGCACACAAGGCGAGCGGCGGGACAGCGCTCACGCTCGAGGAGCTGCTCGCGCAGTTCGATGATATGCGTAGGGGCAAGATGGGCGTGAAGGAGAAGGTACGCGAGGTCGTCGCCCGGCGGTGCCAGACGGAGGAGGACGCGCAGACGGGCCAGAAGTGGCTGAAGTGGGTTCGGAATCAGTGATTGATTGACGGGGCGTTGCGATGACTACTGCCGCGCGAAGACGCGTTGTAACCTCCAATACTGACTGACTGTACCTCTATGTGCTTCATTTCAAGTGTCTATGGGCTGGTTTTGGTTCTGCCACGTGCATGTTCAAAGTGATGTTTGCGGTGCGACTGCAATTCCGAATTCGGAGGAGTGGCCCACGGAACAATCAAGTGTGTAAGTTCCGATATCTGAGACAATCGCTTCTGTTGTTGATTATCATCAGATTCAGATCCTCCCCGTGAGTTGTGTGGTCCACCTGTAAAACTGCCTCAGGACAAGGGGCTTGAAGCGATGATGAGAATATGAATTTCTGCATGCCCGTCCCTGCAGGCGAACTCTGTTCGGAAGGCTCTCGTAAGTGGCGCAGTCAGTGACCAAATCCACACTGTGTGGTCAATGTCGGTGACAGATCAACGGGAAGAAACAAATGCTAATCTTCACGTCCAGCGCTGCCAGAAAATAACGGTTCATCGGCATCGTTTCAAGGCACTGTGCACATGGAGCATCGTATCTGTCCATATGCTCACGACCCCACGCAGTGCATTGCTTTCCGCAGGGCCTGCGTCCAGCCAAAGCTCGAACGCAACGTTGGCGAGCTCTGGATCCCAATAGCACTATGCCCATCGGTGCTAGCCTGCGGCTGGCTTCAATTACAAATGAAGTATATTCTCGCACGCACACGCCTAATATTTTTATCATGCAGGCCGACGTGGGCGCATCATAGAAACGGGGGGATTGCCGTTAACGTTGCTTCGTCGCCGTTGCCGCACTGCACGTCATCAAACCAAATCAAATGCAACGCCTTGCGCGCGCGCGGGTTGAGGTTACTGTATTTGAGATCAGGGATCGAGCCGTTGCTGTGGGAGTCGCGTGCGGTGCGAACGGGGCGGTGTATCATAGGGAAGACTTTGGCCCGCCATGTGCTATGTAGGGCCTGGCGCGGGAAAGGTCGACTTAGACTCAAGTCGCTGATGGCCACCACTCTCCTGCGTGTGCAGACGGAAGACGTACAGGTATGCATGTATTTGTGGCCAGCATTACGTTGAGGTTTATCGGCAGGTCTGCCTGGGCGAAAGAGAAGAACCATCGCACGTTGCTTGCCAAGCTAACACGGAGGTTCGAACGGTAGCTGCCACAAGACGCACGAGTGCTCGAACACAATATGTGACTGGAGAAGAATGCAGATTGGCATTTTTAGAAGATTGAGCGAGAATCGTGTGATCCGCTCTCGGACTGAGGTGTCCATGCAGGTGTGGAGTTTGTCGAGACAGCACGTTGGGCCTCCCCCGTCCCCTACACATTGCAATGGAAGCTAAAGTATATACTGAACAAGATGGAGTCTATGGTACAAGGAAGATCAGCCCCGATATGTCGAGGACCATGTTATTTTCGACAATATCAAGTCTCGGACTCGGGAGCATGACTCGGTCGGAATAGATGTGTGACACTGCCATTGACAATGGGGCCTGTGCCTCTCGAGTGCTCGACTGCTCCCGCGAAGGCGCAGGAAGGCAGGAATGGACGCCTGACGGCCGTGGTCGGCACGTGGCGTGATCACGAGATGGATGGGGCTGCGCTAAGCCGTGGCCGTGGGCCTGGCGACGCAGCCACGCACGAGCGTACACGTTCGATTCGAGATCCCATCTGCAGCAGCTTTTTTGTTTTCTGTTTCACAGACTTTGTGTGACTCGCCTACCGCGGCCATCGCGCGAGGCTGACTCGGGCAGGCTCGAGCGCGCACAGACAGCTCCTGCCATGGCAGCGACAATCTGGGATCGACACATGAAGCAGAGTGATTTGAGGAAGAAGACCTCGAAGGTGCCTTCGCGGATCCCAGTGATAGCGTCTCGGGGAGGCTTCGATCGCTCACAGGCGGTGGCTGAAGCAGTGTCTCTGCGCCTGGACGGTGCAGCTCCCACGACAGATTGGCCGCTCAGTTGACCATCCTGGGTGACCGAGATGGCGGAGTGTCTCAGGATGGTGACTCGCACGGACGGGACAATTCGTGCGTTTGCGATATTCTGTGCCGTCACTTGTCGTAAGGGGTCGGGGCGTCCCGAATTGATGAATAGCATACGATCCATCTCAGATCGAGGATGGCTACGCGAACCGTTCAACACCTTCCTCTTACCACAACCCGCTCCATATAAAATGCTCTGTCCCATCCCATGTCCTGTACAACTCCACAGCGCATCCTCGTCCCCTCTCGACTACAGGCCATCCTGACAATCATGTTAGTTCCCTCCATCCCGTCTCCCGTACACGCTCTTGACTGGCTCGCATCCGTCACCGACACGTCGACCCTCCTAGCTCTCCTCGGCAGTGGCACTGGCGGACCTGGACGACTCTGCCCAGCAGACTTTGACGTCGACCCCAAGACCGGGTTCTTCCCCCGACAGCCGCTACCAAGGCTGCCCGAGCAGTACCAACTTTGGGAGACGGCTCTCGCGGGGGCCAGCGGCGCTGTGAAACTGGGCGACGACTGCAGCGACGGCGCACTTGCGATGCGCGCGGAGGGAGAGTCCTGGCGGTCGTCCATACGAACGGTGAGCCCGATGGATCGTGATTAATTGCCCGCGAAGCTAACATGCCGGCAAATCGCAGTGGCCAGTCATTAGCGTGTCCGCGCTGAACGGCGACCTTCGTCTTCTCCAACGAGCCCACATGGTTCTTGCAAGCGTCATGCATTTCTACGTCCACTCCCTGCCACCCGCCGACGCCCCGATCATCGTCCCCAAGGCCCTGGCTATCCCGCTCGTCGAGGTCTCGCGCCAGCTACGGATGGCCCCGGTGCTCACCTTTGCAGACACGGTCCTCTGGAACTGGGAGCTTGTGGACCCAGAGAGACCGCTATCGCTGGACAACATGCGATACCTGAACATCTTCTCCGGCAGCGATGACGAGCGAAACTTCTATCTTGCCTCGGCAGCCGTCGAGCTCAAGGGCGTCGAGATGCTCGAAATCTTCGAGCGTTTCGCCAACTCGAACTGTTCCACCCGGAGCGCGAACGACAGCGACACGTACGCGAGTGCGACGCTCTCGCGCGACCTCACGCGGCTGGCGAGGATCGTGAACGAGTTGACCGAGATCTTCAAGTCGATACGTGAGACGGTCGACCCGGACATGTTCTACTGGACAGTGCGTCCCTGGTGGTCCGGGTCGACGTCCAAGGGGCCATCCCATCCGGGGTGGGTCCTCGAAGGCGTCCCGGACTCGCACAAGCTCGACCTCGGCGGGGCGTCTGCGGGACAGAGCTCGGTCATGCACGCGCTGGACATCTTCCTCGACGTCGATCACAAGCTCCAGCGAAGCAGCCGCACGCCGGGGCCCTCGCCGGACAACAAGCGTGCGGACCGCGGGTTCATGGAGCGCATGCGGCGGTACATGCCCGGGCTGCACCGCGAGTACCTCGCGCACGTCCGGCCGGTGAGGGAGGTTGTCGAGCGGCTGCCGACGCTGAGGGAGCCTTACAATGCGGCGATTGCTGCGCTGAAGAAGCTCAGGGACGTGCACATCCGGATTGTGGCGATCTACATCGTCACCAGGGCGAATGGGCGCTCGCCGTTCGGGCCTGAGCACGGAGCCGAGGGCATGTCGCGGGCGGACAAGCGCGGGCCTGCGCGGGGGACGGGCGGGAGCGAGGTGTCGAACTTGCTCAAAGCGGGGAGAGATGCGACGCAGCGCACGCTGCTGGGGGATTGAGTCGGCTAGCTGGACTAGGACAAGTGAGCCGTCGAAAGACTTTGAGCGTGGGAAGCGTTCCGCCGTAGATCCTCTTTGTTTCCGTTCAATGTGCCTTCTGACAAGCAATCACCCACCACTGTATCAATAGTAACCTCTGTTCGTTGTCGAGATGCTGTATCCCTAGACATTTGACGTAGATGTTCGTAATTTATTGTTGAGTAATGTGTCAATCGGAGACCTCCGCTCGCGATGCATTGGGCAAGGCTTCTTAAGAATGAATGTGGAAGTTGTGAACACGATGAGATGTGGAGTTCCACTGAGATCGCAAGCCGAAACGAAGGAGACATGTGTGGATGCTCTGGATGCAGAGCGAGTTGAACGACGGATCAATATTCAATTGCAGTGTCGGGCGTCAACATGGCAATGCCAAAAAAGTAGAATGCTGACTAAGACACGCGCCACTTAAGCGCGGACGCGTCGCGTCGCGCTTTTCATCCTCAACCACCACAGTGCACACCACATAAACCGCGATGTCTTTCGAGCTCACCGCAGGCATCGTCAAGCGTCTTGGGGACACGAACAATGTCCCCGCCGACGTGCTCGAGTCGGAGCCAACCGTGCAGTTTCTCTCGTTCAAAAAGGTCGCGCCGGGCTCAGGGGCGTCGGCGACGATGGACCGCTACCGCGTGATCGTGTCGGATGGGCAACATTTCTTGCAGGCGATGATCGCGACGCAGTTGAACGAGCTCGTGGAGACGGGGCAGGTTGGAAAACACTCGGTCGCGGTCATCGAGCGGTTCAGTTGCAATCTCGTGCAGGACAAGCGGTAAGCGAGCCTAGGAGAACTCCCACAGAAAGAGGCTCATACATGCGCGTGTGGTCAACAGGTTGCTCATTATTATGAAGATGCGTGTCCTCGCCACAGACGCGCCGAAGATCGGAAATCCGAAACCGCTGGCGTCACCTGCGCTCGCAGGCGCAGCTCTCACCGCTGCCCCGACCCCGCAAACCACAACTCCCGCTGCAGCGGCGGCTCCCGCTGCGTCTTCGTCCATCACGTCCGGTCCTGTTGTTAACCAGAATGCTCAGCGGCAGCAACAGCAGCAGCAGAACCGCGCGGGACGAGGCACGATCTTCCCCATCGAGAGTCTGAGCCCCTATCAGAACCACTGGACGATCAAGGCGCGCGTCATCCAGAAGTCGGATATCAGGACGTGGTCCAACCAGCGTGGTGAGGGAAAACTGTTCAATGTTACGTTGATGGACGACACCGGGGAGATCAAGGCGACCGGCTTTAACAACGTCGTCGATGAGTTGTACGACAAGCTGCAGGAAGGGAAGGTGTACTATGTCTCGAAGGCGAGAGTCAACCTTGCAAAGAAGAAGTTTTCGAATGTCCAGAATGAATATGAGCTGAGCTTCGAGCGCAACACGGAAGTCGAGGAGGTGAGTGGTAGAATCACTCGCCCATCTGCGGCGTATACTCACATTACTCCAGTGTCTCGATGCGACCAATGTGCCAGTTGTCAAGTTCAACTTTGTCGAGATCAACAAGCTGAACGAGATCCCGAAGGATTCCACTGTTGGTGTGTACTATCCCTATTGTTGCATATCGACTGCGGGCTAACCGCGTGAATAGACGTTATCGGCATCGTCAAAGAGATCGGCGACGCAGTGGAGATCAACTCGAGAACTAACAAGACGGTCGGTTGCGCAGCTTCCTCCATCTAACGCCTAGTTGACGTTGTCTTTCTGCAGCTCACCAAGCGGGAGCTCACAATCGTCGATCGCTCTCAGTTCTCTGTCCGCCTCACTCTGTGGGGCAAACAAGCGCAAGACTTTAACGTAGATGAGCCTCAGCCCGTCATCGCATTCAAGGGTGTCAAGGTCGGCGACTTTGGAGGTAACGAATTCATTCTTCATTACAGAACAATGCTTACAAGACACCCTCCGCACTCAGGCCGCTCGCTGTCCATGATCAGCGCGAGCACTATGCATGTCAACCCTGATATTGCCGAGGCGCACGCCCTACGCGGTTGGTACGACGCAGCGGGCGAGAAGGAGACGTACCAGGCGCAATCGAGCTCGGGCTACGCGGGCGGGTCGTACGACCAATTCGAACGCGCCGAGGTGCTACCGCTGCGCGAGGTGCAGGAGCGCGAACTTGGGACGTCCGACCGGCAGGACGTGTTCTCGGCGCGCGCGACGATCATGCACATCAAGTCGGATAACATCGCGTACCCTGCGTGCCAGTCGCCTGGGTGCAGCAAGAAGGTCGTCCAGGGCCATGACGGCTGGCGTTGCGAGAAGTGCGATAAGAGCTGGGAGAAGCCGAGTTACAGGTATGGGCTTGTTCGAGCTCTGATGTGGACGACGTTGATGGTGGTGTTTCGTGTTAGGTACATCGTTGCTATGGCTGTTGCGGACTACTCTGGGCAGGCGTGGCTCCAGGGTTTCAACGAAGTCGGCCAGACGATCGTCGATATGTCCGCCGACGAACTCACGAATATTAAAGTCGGTCATATCTATTTTTAACTTCCATATTTATGCTCACGGCGCGACAGGACCAGGATGACGAGCAATTCAACCGGGTCATGGAGCGCGCCACCGGCAAGACGTACAATTTCGTTTGCAAGGCCAAGATGGATACGTTCAACGTGAGTCATGACAATCCACTCAAATGCACCCAACCTGCTAACGATGTTTGCGTACAGGACAAGACTCGCGTACGTTATCAGATCACCCGGATCATCCCTAGTGACTATCACGAGGAGGGCAAGTACATGGCAAACCTCCTCCTTCGTTCTGACTGGGCTCGGTGAAGCACAGCATTTCTCTTCATATAGGCACTTAAGATTCTCTATCCTGTTGTATTAGTAGCATGTTGCTTTTCCCTTTCTGAAATGACCATCGATCAATGATGTATCCGATAATAAAACGGTCTACAGAGCGGTAAAATTACAGAGACGGCGAGAGTAAGTTACAATGACTAACAACAGAGAGACGTCAGACAATAATCACTCGCGCTCTGCTGCCTTGTCGAGCTGCTGTCTCTTGCGGGCACCTCCGCTAAAATTGCGAACCTGCGTCAGCATCAATCAATAGCACGAACAACGCAGAATACTCACACGTCAGTATCCAAACCCCTCTTCTTCCCGCTCTTCGCCTCGTCCAGGAACTTGTCGAGCCCGAACACGTCGCCCGTGTCCTTCTCGAACTGTACCGGGCCCTCCCGCACCTCCTGGTCCTTCGCGCCCTCAAAGCCAATGCGCACTTGACCCAGCCCGAACCTATCGTTATCCAGCGCCCTCCCAATGCCTTCCTCCGTGCCCTCCCCAAACGATTCCTGGTTGCCCTCCGTGATGTTCCCACGCGCCTTATACATCACCGCGGCCGCCGACGATCCGTGGAACAGCGGGCGATCGTACAAGTTATACGCCTCATCTTCCGCGAACGAGCCCGTGAGAGACTCCTGGTTGAACAGACGCGAGTCGACCATGCTCTCCTTCGAGAGCGTCGGCTTCGCTAGCCCGAGCGCGATCTTCTCCGAGATATCGCGGTTCTGCTGCCGCGCGAGCATCTTGGCGCGCTGCTCCTGTCCCATGTTGCTCATCCGTAGCTCGCGCTCACGTTCGCGCCGCTTCTCCTGCCGCATCTGGTCGCGCAGCCGCGCCGTCTCCTCGTCCCCTAACTCCTCTGCCTCTGACTCCTCGCTCTCACTGCCATATGCACCGAGCGAGGACTGGATGGCCACAGTACGCTCGACGGTGACCTTAGTCTCAGTTGCGCGGGAAGGTGCAATACCTGCACGCTCCTCGCGCGCACGTTGAGCAAGCATCCGCAGGTTCTCCTCCTTCTGTGCCTTCTGCTTCTCGGCAAGCTTCTGCTGCATCAATCCACGCTGGCGGACTTCCTCTCGGGCATGTCGATCAGCAATGAAAAGCGCTTCTGAGAATTTGGCGAAGTTGTCGTTGATGTGCAGCTATCCAGATACCGTGATTAGCAGGAATTATACAGTCACACGTGCATCATTACTCACATCTTGCAGACCACGGCCATCTGCGGCAAGACGCTTATCAAGAGGAATGGTGTAACCCTTGTTGTTCTTCCAGTTGGAGATGCAAGGAGGAATCATCCACTCCTTCTGCTCCTGTGCCGTGGCTTTCCGCGGAGGACTCCTCAACACTGGTGGTGGTGGGCTGGGTGGTCCGCGAGGGATCTTCTTATGCTTGAACCGTGGCGGCTCCAGTGGATCCTCAACGACCTCGGTCATCTTGACGATGCGCTGTTTGAGCCCATTTGCGCCATTCTGCTGCCCTGGTGTGTATCGGATGAACGACGTCTTTCCCTGGCTGTCAGGAACGTTCTTGGGCTGTGCCGCTTTGATCTTGCCATTCACGAGCTTCTCCAGTGCCGCTCGCGTCTTTTCTGTCGTAGCCTGCACGTCATCCTCTGTGGGGCGTTCCATCTGCCGCTGAGTGTCATCAAGGTCTTTCCTGTGAGCGAGCGGGACGAGGTCCTTGAACTGCGACTGCACGATCTTGCCCGGTCGCTGGCCTTGTTGAGCGATGACATCGTAGCGCACGTTGCCCTCTGAATCGACCTGGAGTGCAAGTGTGTTGCCGGCGGCGGTCTTCTTCTTGCCCATGTCTAAAGGATACTGAGCGACATGGCACTCGGGATACGCACCACCGTCACCTGAGAGGTTGCGTCAGTCTCTAAATGTTATAACGACTACATAAGCAAACGCACCAAAGTCATCTGGTGACGTTGGCTTCCATCCATTCCGCTGGCCATATGGTGGAACAGGCGTTCGAACTACCACTGACTGCGATGCGACTGTCGCGGGGACTTGAATGACCGTCTCTTCGTCGTCCGCGGTGGATGTAAATACTGGTTGGGGAAGTAATCTGAGACATAGAATGAGAAAAACGATATCCATAGAATTCAATGCTACTTACGATGCTAGAGCGGTGGCCATTTTGTAGTTCAGGTGTTGAAGGAACGAAGATAGAGGAGCACTGAGTACAGTTATAAAAGCAGTTAAGTTACATAACATGCGAGGCGGGATGCTTGGTCATGTTTGTCACCGGCAATCACCGGTATTTCCTTATTTGGAAAACCGTACTGCCAACTTTTTATCACGTCTTCATTAATGGATTAAGAAGAACAGTTCGACTGCTACTAGCAAATTAAACTTACGACCCAGCAGACACATCGAGGTACAACAACCGAAAGTGCGCATAAAGTACATAACTGTACATTGCAGAGTGTCTGTCACGTGACAATATGAAATCCCAGAAATGAATCTTGAGCGAATTGTCTCATTCTTCTCGCCGGCGTCGGCGATGAGCTCAACTCCTAGCGATGTCGCTGCTCCTCCGACAAAAACACGGCTAGCAGGTGTCAAGGCCGCGCTGAAATATACGGGGATCCCGCCGTCATGGCTCGACAAGCGACCTAAGCTGCCTTCGCGCAACTGGCTCATCTTCATCGGAGTCACGTCCACCCTCGCGGGTGCGTACATCTATGACTACCGGCAATGCAGAAAAATCCGCCAGGAGTACGTCGACAAGGTAAAGTACCTCGCACAGGAGCCCCTAGGCAGCCTTGACTACCCGCGCAAGGTGACCGTGTACGGGACGAAGTGGCCTGGTGATGAGGACTCGCAGCGGAGCATGCGATACTTCCGGAAGTACGTCAAGGTCCGGTGTATGCCTTTTAATATTCATGTCTAAGCGTTGACCATATTCTCAGCCGATCCTCGTAGCCGCCGCTGTGGACTATGAGATGGTTAATGGGAGACGCTACGGTGATCTTGCACGCCGCATAGCGGAGGAAATCAAGAAGAAGCGGAGGATCGAAGTCGGATTAGACCAACCGCCTGCGCCGCCCATGCTTCTTCCTCAGGCTTCTCCAGAGGAGAAACGGCGGCGCGAGCTCGAGGGCGGGATTGTCATTGTTGGTCGGCCTACATTCAAGGAATTTATGGCTGGTCTCAAACGTGGCTGGACTGACAGTCTTGACCTCGTGGACAGGGAGGAGCAGCTTTCGCGAGATTTAGAGTCAGATGGCCGGTTTGATGAACCAGAACCGGAGCCAGAGGCTAGTGCAGACATCGACGGCGAGCCGATACCGACCGCCTCGCGTCTGCCGCCCTCCAAGCCATTCGCTGCCTTCAGTCCACCCATAATGCACGGGCTGACACCAACACCATCATCCTTCTCTCCTTCATCATCTTCGTCGGGATCTTTCATCCCTGCAGAGTTGAATACGCCACCCGCCAGCATCCCTCCCCAGCCTCCAATTGTCTTCGTGCACTTCATCAACCACATAGGCTTCTCGCAGATCCCGCACATGATTTGGGACTTCTTCAATGAGCGGCATAGAGTCCGTGAAGGCGCACAAGATGCCTACAGGCTCATTGTCGGCCAGACGCGTCCGTTCGTCGCGCCTCCGCCAGAAGTTCTCACCCAGGTATCCGACGCAGACGCAGATCTCGACCCCAGCACGTCACCTGCACAGCCGCACCTCACAGAGTTCCTGCCGTCCGATCTCAACTTCGACAAGGACGCCGAAACATACTATAAAAAGTCCCTTGTGCGCTCATTCGCGTCAGACATTGCAAAGGCGCGCGAGGAGTACTATGCTGCGCTCCCGAAGCGACTCGAGACGGCGCGCGCTCTGGCGTGGGGCGCCCGTGAGCCAACGAAGGACGAGCGGAGCTATCCGCCGCCGACGGAGGTCGAGCTGCGCGCGGAGCGGATGAAGAAGGAGCTACGCTGGCGTGCAGATGAGGAGGGATGGGAGATAATAAGGCCGGACAAAGAGGTGGATTGGGACGAGAGGTTCAGAGAGGCGTTGAAGGTGTTCGTCAATTCTCTGTCTGAATCGGAGAATGCGAAGGCAGAGGGCGAGGGCGGCGAGAATAAGTCATGACCGGATCGATGAATGCGGTCTATCTCCCAATTCTTGACTAGCTCACTAAGTATCGTACAGCTTCGGGGGGCTAAGCTGCAAGCCCTGCCGCTAATCTTGAACCAGCGGCGAATCCGCAGGCACATACCACCTGAAGGTTGGACCTGCGCGTGGGCGGAACTAAGGTGGAACGATCAAATGAAGGATGGCGAAGCTATCGTTCGTAGTTGATTATTATAGAGTATGCGAGCTATCGCCCTAAGCATCCTCGCTGCGAGAAGTAAAGTGGACACGTAGAAATCGAATGCCCAAATCACATCGTTCATCCTTGATATGACCGCCAACGTGCAAGTAACTCTTGGGTGGCTGACCGCAAGGCCATGAACATCGGCTGCGTATATTAATCAGACTGGCAACGAACAAGTAATGAGCTTTGTAGCCCGTCCAATACCAATCCCGTTTGTAAAGTACACAATGCTCTTTGGCATCTACGAGAAGATTGTTCGCGCTGGTGTCTTGCTAATCATCGATAATCTCTACTGCTCCGCTATGCCACCAGGCTTCTAGCTCCTCCAAATCTTTCTGAAAACTATTGTCCTCCTGAGGTTCGTCGTCAAAAGCGAAACTTGAAGGCTCGACTTCTATGTGGTCTTGAACGGGATCGTCAGTCTGATGCTCTGAACGTATCTTCACGATGGCGTCATTGATGGGTTGCTTGCCTCTCAAAGATAACTGTTCATGAGACGCGCTGCAAGAGGTTGCCAAAGTCTCCGAGGAAGACGTGTCCGGGACGATTTCGAAGAGATTAAGATCTAGCTCGAATGGTTCATCACCTGGAGCTTGAAAGCGACAAGGAGAGCCTTGTTCCATCTCCACATCCTGCTGCCAGCCCGAAGGACCATGCTCATCGGAGGAAGAGTCCAAGAATAGCAGCTCTGCCTTCTGCTTGCCCTTGTCAACCTGCGACCACTGTCGTGAACATTCGAAATGTTCATACGCATATCTCGACGACACATACTTTTCGTTGCATGGGGCTGGCAGGCGGCCTTCTGAACGTTTCATCACGCTGTGTGGGTTCCAACTCAGCGCGCTTGTGATTGATAGGCGATTCATCGGCTTCACTTCTTCGCTTCTGCCTCTTTGAAGCTGGAGTATTCCAGAGCCAGTTTTCGGCGCGAGGAGAGTTGTCATAAGCTTGTGGCGTAGAAGAACTAGTATTCATATGTCTGATATTTTCATTGTCGTATAAGGGAGCATCTCGTAACGCAGCGTCGACTTCCGAGTTAGAATAGTGTGTGGTATCGTCAGAAGGAATTGCGACGTCACATCCCTTCCGCTTTCCATTGCCAAAGGAGTTCAATAAGTCACTAGGCTCCGGGAGGTCTGCGTCATTATCCGAGTCGTCAATAGAGATGACGTCGTCGCCAGTATCAGCCTTGTTGTCCACGCGTAGAGACGTCAAGCCAGAGCCGATAGACCGTCCCTTGAGCCCTTCCCCGGAAGTATTCACAGATTTGTCGAGTTTGATGCGCTGCCCTGGAGATAATTTCAGATTCGCCTTGACATTAGTCTTTTCGTGCAGAGCGTCTAGGCGCTTCAGCTGAGCGCCCGCCTTATCGCACGGCTTTGACTTGACCTTGGTTGTCGCCTTAGCCTTTGAAGAGTCCGTGTGTCGCGAGCCATTATCGGAACCGACTGTGGACTTGTCGAGCTTGTTTTGGCTACTCTCTTCAGTGCATAAAGCCTCGATTCGCTTCTTCGACATTGGAGGGGGTTTTGGCAGACCTTCATGGCAGCTTGAAGACCACTTGTAAAGATTGACCCGAGAAAATAGAGTGAACACGCACCAGACATGGCGGCAGTTTCTCTTGTCTTTGCACATATGGTTGCATCTGCACAGCACGCATGCTAGATAGATCATAACACAACATGGTGATTGAACCCACTCATAGTTGCCATTTGGTAGTCGTTTGAGCCTGTTTTGCATCGTTGCCGCGGTGTTACCAGGAGCAATCTTGGCACTCGTCTTCTGTTGCTCCTCATGATGCTTGGAGAGGCTGGCCTGGGTAGCAGCGGGCTCTGAAGAATCGTCAACGACAGATCAAAAGACCAGTGGTTGAACTCGCTACTAGTGACTGCCGGCGGCTCCACTTTTGCTGTAGGTAACTCCGCCTCCACGAAGTCCTCATCGTCCGGGCCCATGTTCCAGAAGTCAGGATCGTCCTCGAGGCCCTCCAGCATCACATCCTTCGTGTTTGCATAGTGATCAGATTTAAGTGCCTCGGAAACAGGTGACAACAAACCTACCAAGGAGTTCTGTGGGCGCGTGACCATGGTAGGGTAGTGCTTCGCGCCGATATTGGGCTTATAACATTCGGTCATAGCCACTCCAGCGATGATTTCCTATCGCCTCGTGAACATCCTGAGCGTAGGAACAAATAAGACCGTACCGAACTGATGCACACAGTGATCGACTGGCTGGGCTTCGTTAGCTGGACGCTGACCGAGAAACTTTTAGTCTCCTTCAGTACTTTCGTCCTGACATGTCTCTCAGGAATAGGCGGATTAACTGAAACGACAGGACTAACGGAATGCGACGAAAGTCCACGAAGTCGAGGTCCGAAGTCAAGGTGAGCACCGCCGTCATGTCCGCCACCCTAGTCTTGACTTTCTTCGGCTTAATCTCTGTGGCATTGAGCAACCCACAATCAACAAGTATTTCGACCTCCACGGGCTTCTTGCCTCCGTGACTTGATACGGCAACTTCGCTGATTTTCAATGTATACTGAGGAAACTGTTGCACGGCAGCAAGTACCTCGAGGCCGAAAGGTGGCCGACGATTGAGCAGCTAAATCCAAATCAGCAACTGGACACATGGTTTCAAGGGATGCCATACAGCTTCCAGGCACAGCTGGTCTGCCTTTCGTAGCGCATCGATGCTGGTGATATTGTGCTCCGCAAGTACCTGTGTCCATGAATGATGTCCTGAGCTGCTTATGAGGATATGACAAACCTTGAGACTGGTGGACAAACCGTCAGCGTAGTCGGGTTAGAAGGAAAATATGAGCACGCACGATTTCTCGCCGATGCGCTCGACTTGCCGCATGACCGTATACCGATCTTCCCAGGCCTTGGCATTGAGACAGCGCATCCTGTGCAAACCAGTGAGAAAGGAGGACACTGGACGCAGATCGGATGACGGACGCCTCAAGGCCACTCTTGAGTAAACCGCCTGCCTTCTTCACAATCGCCACCTCCACGATAGCTGGCCAAACAAGGTAAAAATTAAGCTGTGGCAACAGTTAGATCGGCGCCCGCCTTTTGCAATTCGCGCAACGTGTCGGAAAATTGCAAACGCTTCTCCGGGCGGATTGTTATCACCATTCTTGTATTCGGGATCGGACAAGCTCATACAGCCCAGAACGGCCTGGAAAAGGACATAAGCACTACTTCTATTGTAAAGCATTGATACCAACCTGTATCAATACGAAGATCTTGTCCGCCGGTTTCTCGATCTTCTTGATCTGGTATCGAATATCATTGTGTACGCGCATCTTGTTATACACCTTGGGAACCGAGATGTCAATTGCAGATAAATCACTCGTAGCGAGCAACTGCTTACCTGCTTCTCGCCACTGCGAAGCCTGATATCCGAGAATCTAAAGACTTCACGTTCAGTGGTGCTATGACGGTATATCAGAAGTGATATTAACTCTTCTGCACTCGCGATTGCCTCAAGCTGTATTGAGTATCAATATTTGCACTGGGCGGACATGGACAAGACTACGGACAATCTCGCGAACGGTGGCACGGTCTGGCAATTTGAGGATGAGGTTCATCTGGATAGGAGTCAGCGATAGTGCTGTACATTCATTTGTTAAGCGTACTGTTGACTGCTTCACGTAGAACTGAGGAGAGACTCCGTCAGAAAATAACATGTTAGAAAGCATCACTACTCGCCTTGCTCATGATGTCGCCGAACTCCGTGGAACACAATTGACCATCCTCATGCTCAGAATAGGTGACTAATTCGGTATCCTGCAGTTTGATGATGCTCTGGGTGACCATGTCATCAATTCTTTGTTGCCACGTCTGACTGTTGTCCTTCCCAATTGCGTAGTGTCTCGGATTTCTCTGTACCCTACGATAAAGGAATGAGTTGTGCAACCACTCCTTAGCCGTATCAAGATCTGTAATCGTCCCGAGTCCCACTTCCGAGTTGATGTGCTCCGAGAGGTTCAGGTGCAGGCAACTCTCCAGGACCGTGTGGCCTTGCGCCAGAGCTTTGTACTTTGCCTCTAAATCAGCCTCACACATGATGATAGCGATACCTTCCTTGTCTTCGATAATCCATGCATAAGCGGGTCTGCAAAGGATATAATATGACAATGCGCACCAAACTGAGGTCGGCCCTGATGAACGCACAACGGAGTAACACGAAAGTGTTGGAATCACTGGACCATCGAAGACGGATAGACTGGGACCACACGTACCGCACGACCCATCATCTGCATGATGTCCAGATCCGAGTACTCCTGAGAGGTATTGTTCTGGAAGATCTTGACACCCTTGATCACGACCGTATGCGCAGCTATGATGCGAATTACGCGGTTGTTCAGCATAGAACAAAAGCGGTCCAAAAACATACTTACGCAAGTTGACGCCGACCGCCAAGGTCTAGTTGCACGCATCAAATAAGCTCGTGAACAGACAATGCACGCAACTTCTTGACTTACAGATGTCGCAAACACTATCCTTAGCACTTTCTTGATGTATAGTTCTTCAGTAGTCCGACGATCTTCCATGCTTATGCCTGCATGGTGAACACCTATCCCGCATACTGCAAGCTCTGCACAGAAGTCACTAAGACAGGACTGACGGGTCACGCATATATGCCTCACTTTCCAGACGCTTATTTTGGAAATTTTGCTCGATTCTATGGCAATAAAGATATGTGAGTTAATGTCAAAGCCCGTCAAACGAACAAACCTAGGAGGTCTAAGCCAAGGTAACGTCTGTTTCTTATGCGAGGCCTCTTCGTACTCTTTCATGATCTGTTCTGCAGTCGTCATCACGCCTGACGATGACGAACACGTCAGATGAGTGCAGGAATATCTCAGCCTAGCGGCTAACAAACCTTTGCGAGTCGAGCAAAATACCAGCATTGGCTTGTTGGCAGAATGTTGCTGGAGAATGGCATACAAGCGGTAATCGAGTGTCTTCTGGAATACAAAGTCGTTCTGTTCTCTCTTCCGCGGTATCCCATACACGAACTTTGATAGTTTGCATGGCCGGTATTCCTCTCCAAACTATCACGACAGCATCCATATCAATAGCGATTCACCACCACGGCACGAATACTCTTGAGGAATACATACCTTCATTATGGTAGCAGAGCCGTCCGGAGTTCCGTTACTGATCCAGCTGGCCACATCCTCGATGTTCGGGACAGTGGCAGACACCACCACAAAACGTACAGAGGATCCACGAATCTTCATACGTGAGATGACTACTTCCAATGTGCTCCCACGGTGCTCGTTTAAAATTTGCACCTTGGAGGTCCAGACGTCAGTTGGGTTCATTTCATCATGACATTGCTTACTTCGTCAACAAGAAAAAGCTGAATTTGCGACAGGATCCGTTGATGATCGCTCCTGCGGATAACATCATTTAATGGGGCTGCATTCATTGTGCTCACATGCATGCTGACCAGTTGCGAGTTAAGCTGTCCCACTTTTCACCCTGCGAACACTGGTCATACAACGAGCTGGTATTGCAGAACGGAACCTCTGACCGTTGTGACACTGAGCATTCAGACAAATATGTCAGTCGCAATATCATAAATAAGCTGCCTTGCACGCACATAATAGTAGCATCCCGCGCGCTTCCCCATGCACTCTTTCCGAAGTGCACGGTATCTCCTGTCAGCTCGCAGCCTGGTTCGCGGCTGGTCAGCAGAGCACGTGAGGGCACCGTGATACGGTGAGAGCGCACTCACAATCCACACCCAATGGCTGGAATTTCGCGGTCCAATCTCTGCACTTCTCGGAGCAAAGCGCCTGTGTCCGAACGCCGATATTGTGAATACAAGCTCCCAGGCGCGACCCTCATCACGCATTCGTGTCTCCGCTTACCTTTGTGGGAGCTACGTAGATGCACTTAGACGTCTTCGTATTCCCACCCGCCTGCATAAGCATGCGGATGATCGCGAGCTCGAAGAGCACTGTCTTCCCACTCCCCGTGGGCGCTATGGACGGCTCCGATGTGAGATCACAAGATTGGAGCGAATTCAAACGCGCTCACCGCTAATGACCTGTGGAAGCGCAAAACGTAATAAGCAAACACGGATCAATCAAAAAAGATACACGCACCATGTTCTCGTCTGTATCCATAACCTAATAGCAGGTTTGTGATTGGTGGAGTGCATTTTGTACCCACAAAGGAGAACTCACCGTGTCGAAACAGCTCGACTGGACTGCGTTGAAGACGCCGAACTTGAACAATGACCGATACATGTCAGCTGCAGCGGAATTCGGCAAGGAAGGTGCGTATATGCGTCAGAACTTAGGCTACCTCGTGGACAGGAGACCGATAACCGACACACTCACGCAATTTTGACACAGGACGCAGCGGGATGCCGTGTGCATTTCGCGGGTTTGACCCTCTGGCTGGGTCACAACGGTTGTCATGAGGAGCCTCATTTGCATGAGGGGCCAATCGATCGCTTGTAGACAACAAACCGGGGATCATGGGGGGGCGGGTATTATGTGCAGATAAAACGCCAGGGGGGACCGTTTGGCGAAATGAAAGTCTAGCTACTGAACCCTGATGTGAACAAACTATGCCGACATCTATGCTGGAACACTCTTACCCGATTGCGTTGCAAACGGGCGCCGGCTAAGCGTCGGAGGTCCGTAGCTCGATGAGCCAGTCAAACGCACATCCGGCTGGAACTGAGGTTCGAATGCTTGATACAGCTCCACATCATCGTAATCAGAGATGTCATCATAGTCTAATGGAGTCTGGGGACCAGGGTTGCGTGTAAATCTCGGGGCGATGTACTGAGCGTTCCGGGCTCGGATACGCTCTGGAGGAGATGGGGAAAACGAAGCCTCTTTTGGAGAGAGGTTAGAAAGCATGCACGTGCTGTATGAGATTTGGGGCGCATATAGTCACCGATTTCTTCCATAAGATCATCTATGTCCTCGAGACCTGCACCGGCACCCGCTGAATAGGAAATCCCAACGTCAGGATCGTCCATATATTCATCGTAGTCGAGCTCATCTAGACCGTAGGCGTCTGTGACACTTGCAAAGTTCTC